ACAAGCATTCGCGTTCGCGTTCGCAGAAAGCGCTTGCAGTGGCGGTCGCCGACGCACCACCCCGTACCGGTGGACGTCTTCGCCGTGCTGGCACCAGTCATCACTCGTCACAGTCACAGTCTTGCTCGCGCCAGTTCCAACGCCGACGTCGACACCGTCGTGGACAACGGTAGCAGGTGCACCAACATGGACACCGTTCACTCCGACTACAGGGGAAGCACCCACACCCACGCTAGCGACACCCGGAACGCCCACCCCAACTCCGACACCATTCACGCCAACACCAACGCCGTTTACACCTACGCCAACACCAACGCCGTTTACACCCACACCGACACCAGGCACACCGACACCAACGCCGTTTAGACCCACACCGACACCAACGCTAGCAACGCCCGGGACGCCGACACCAACACCTGGTCCAACGTAACCGGGGCCACCCACTCCGACACTAGCGACACCGGGAACACCGACACCGACACCAGGTACACCGAGTAGTCCAAACGTCTCGGCCACTTGCTTCTCGGCCTGCACATGGCTCGAGAGAGCCACGACGGCGATGCAAAGTGCGAAGATCTTGTTGTTGCTGAACATGATTGCTGAGGATGGAGACTTGGTCCGGAGAGAGGAAAAGAGAGCTTGCTCTTGGGAAGTTGGTTCGAGTGGTTGAGCTCGAAGGAGTGAATTGGAGAATGAGTTGTAAGTGGCATCGTGAGTTGTCAGTCAATCCCTCCTTGTGGAGGTTATCTTGTTGCTGAATAGTTAATGGAGCCATACGGATTGTGCTGGTAATTTCCGCATGGAATGGATTGTGCTGGTAATCCCAAAATATAAATATTTCCTTTTAGTAGGTGGTGTCAACTCAATAGGTAAACAGAGATTGCAGGGGCCGATGTATCAGGGGTCACATTCGAGATGCAAATTGTGACAAACACAAATTGTTTTTAGGGATTTTTTTATAAAAAAAATTAAGAAGACGCAAATCGTGGAGAGCAGACGTACTCCATGTCAAACATTTGAAATTGGAGAATGAGGGAATGTGCAAGACTTGGGCTGTTGGTGAATTGGAGAATGAGGCAATGTGCAAGACTTGGGCTGTTGGTGTTAGTGAACGGGCTTGACCTAGTCAACAGATCCGGTAGCGCAAATGATCTTCTGGTAAGGATACAGTTTCAGTGTGGTTTTGCTGACAGGCTGAGGCTTATGACATGGGCTACGCACGCTCGCTTGAGCGACTAATTCTCGCTCTCTACATCTTCTTATTCGCGCTCTTGACTTCCATCAATTTACAGAAGAAACAACAAATCTAGGCCTCGCATTTCAC